AATTGGTCAATTTCAGCCTCTTCAGCTTTGGTGGTTGGTGCATAGACTTGGATTACTGTGATGTTGAAAGGTCCACCTTGGATTCGTATTGAAATCATTCTATCATTTTTGAGATTGTATCCCAGTACAGCTTTTCCCACTCTTTTGTTGACTATGAGGGCTACTCCATTGCTTCTACGGGATTCTTGCCCACAGTAGTAGATATGATAATCTTCTGAACTGAATTTGCCCATTCCCATCCAGTTTAGTTCACTGATGCCCAGGATGTAACCTGGATGTGGTCAAACATCTCCTGTTTGACCACATCCACCTTACCAAGATTCATTGATCTTACATTCCAGGTTCCTATGCAGTATTTTTGTTTGCTAAATCGGACTTTCACTTCCAGGTGCATCCGCAGCTGAGCGTCTTTTCGGCTTTGGTCCAACCACTTCATTAGCTCTGGAGCTACTTATACTTGTCCTCCACTCTTCCTTAGTAGCATGTTGGACGCCTTCCGACCTGAGGGGCTCATCTTCCAGCGTCTTATCTTTTAGCCTTTTGTTTCTGTTCATGGGGTTTTCTTGGCAAAGATACTGGAGTGGCTTGACAATTCCTGCTCCAAGTGGATCGTGTTTAGTCAGAACTCTCCACTATGACCTATCCATCTTGGGTGTCCCTTCACGGCATAGCCCATAGCTTCTCTGAATTACTCAAGCCCCTTCGCCATGACAAGGCAGCAACCCATAGCCATATAGGTCCCTATTATTCTATGATTTTATGATTCTATATGGGAAGTGGTAAAGGTCTTTTGTCCAGTATCTGCTTTGAGGGACATGGTAACCTTTTCAATGGGTTTAGGTTTTGCATCTGATACTAAGGGCTTACCATTCTGATTACACACACATACTGTACGTGGGGGCGAAACAAGATATTAGAAGGTCAGTGATCAGGAGTGCCCCCATTTTCCAGGTGTGTTTAGTGGACAGAAGCGTAGAAGAGAGAAGTGTTGTCTCCCCCCAAGCCATGCTATTTCTCTGATTAAATCACCCCACAGCTAGTGTCAGATTTGTGTGAGTTTGGGGGCAGAGAAAACATTATTGGTCATGGTCACAAATCCCATTTTTCTCACTTATTCATATCTTCTCTTTAAATGTAAATAATTACTGATTTAACAAACAGCAACTCAGGAAGTAATTATAAAAATAAAATTGATAACTGATTCACAGAACACTTGAAGAGGGATACTTGTAGAATGGAAATGATGATTACCTTATTTCTCAACGGACACTCTCTCCCTTTAGATTTTGACTGTTCTGGACTATGCATTTATGAGCCAGTATTCATAATATTAATGTGCTGAAAATATATTGCTTGTGCCTTTTGTTTAAGGACAAAATGTCTTAGTGCTGTGTACTTTTTCATACTATTATTTGCTGAAAGCTTTCTTCGTTAGATATTTGCTGTGACAGGCCTGATTAAAATTATTCTCTCCCACTATGTTTATTTGTGTTGCCATGACAAAGACGTACATAGAAATAACTCCTACTTTGTATGAGGAAGTTTTAAAACTGCCTTCTTAGGTACATTTATTTGAAATGGTAATTGAGTAAAATTTAGTAATTATGATAACAGCACTAGGTCTTAATTGTCACATATTTTCAGCTTCCATATTAAGGTATGCCTTTTTCCCATTAGTGTCTGACATACAAAAATTAGTGAAATTCAATGTTGCGTCTTGCATGTTTTGTAGGAGAGTAATTATCTACCCGCTGTAATGGGAATTTGGGACTCTGTAACAAAATGTTGCAGTGTAGAGCTCAGTTTGCCAGTCAATTTGCCATGCCCTTTTCAGTGATGCTCCATGCCATTCTTTGGCTTTTCTGCTTTCCTTCCCACAGTCTGTCACCATTCTGTGCCCATTGAGCATGCTCAGTTTTGATTGAGCTGCTTGGGGGTCTTCTTGCAGAGCTTCTTCCCCCTTGGGATGCTTTGTATACTTCTGTGAACACCACAATTTCTGCAAGCCCACTAATAATTCTTTTCTTCTTCTTCTTCTTCTTCTTCTTCTTCTTCTTCTTCTTCTTCTTCTTCTTCTTCTTCTTCTTCTTCTTCTTCTTCTTCTTCTTCTGCAATGTAGATGGTGCTGTTTGGTCTTCAGGCCAACCTGTACTCTGAGTCTGGTGTTGGTATATGAGAAGTTCGCTAACTATCTGTTTGTTTGTTTTTAAGGACTAAAACACAAAGGCCTATTTCGGATCAGTGGTTCAGCAACCAAAGTCAAATCACTGAAGCAGAAGTATGATGAAGGAAAAGAGGTGAATCTTGTTAATGAAGGAGATGTCAATTCTGTTGCTAGCCTTCTTAAACTCTTCCTGAATGAGCTCCCGGTTGCTGTCTTTCCCAACAATCTGTGCTATGAAATTTTTACTCCTTTTGAAGGTAAAAGCAAGGAGATGGGATGCTCCTGGTCCATATTTTCATTCAATTGGATGTGTTGTTATGTCTCAGAAAGATTCTAAATCATACACTTCTGGAACAGAAGGAGGATTGACTTGGATGAGACAATGGTCTGAGTGTAGTTTTTGTCATACTTAGCATAGACTCACTAAAATCAGCAAGACCACTTACTTATGAGTATAATATTTTAATATTTATAACTTACGGTGTCTTTACTTATTTATTAATGATACTGTGAAGTGTTCTGAGTCCCAGTTCTGGAAGAAGGATGAGATATATGCAATACACAAATAAATAAATGACTAATTAAAATTTTAATTGAAATCTCGTTAATTTCATAGTCCCACTCTATACTGTATATGGCTAAATAGTGATTCAACTTGATGCATTTTGTTCACTTCTGTAATTGGAAGCCAGTTTGTACATGACAAGGATAAAATGGTTTGACCTGAGCAAAAGTAAAAAAACAGAGTGCTCAAGTAGCTCTGAAATTGTGACCATTGGTGTCAGTTTGTATACTTTACTTTACTTTATTGGTTGATTGCTTAAAACCATAGGTCATCGCAATATATCAATGACAGCATCAAACATATGTGGCACTGTCATATCACAATTACACTTAAAAGGAAAGATTTAGGATTTTGGATGCTTGGCACGAATCTTCTTTGCTGCCAAGGCAAATTTTGCTACTTGGTGGGTAGTAAATACATCCCTGTCCACAAACAGCGTGCAGAGTTGAGCCAGAGGAGGGCTGTCACACAAAGTTTTAAGTATGCCAGCCAGGAATTTGCTCCTGGGGTGATCATATAAAAGACATCTTAACAAATAATGAGAAATATTTTCAATTTCTCCTGATCCACATATACAAAGTCTCTGATCAAAAGGAACATTTTCATATCTTCCTACTAATATACGTAGCTGTTGGCATACACCGAAAGTGCAGAGCTGTAAATGCTTTTCTTAGAGGGGCTGAGGTTAAATTAACAATGTAGTCCTCCAAACAGAATGATGTTTTATACAAAGGGCACCAGCAGTTATAAGACGTTTCTGAGATGGCATGGAGATCCTGCCACTTAAAGACATACTTTTTTCTTTAACCAATTGTTTGTATACACTGTCTTGCTCTCACACTCTACATGGGTGACAACTTAAGCTTTAAATTTCTCTCTCTCTCTCTCTCTCTCTCTCTCTCTCTTGATTTTACTATTTTTTCCTCATTTTTTTTTTCATTTTTACTCCTGTTCTTTAGAACTTCATGTACTTAAGTGTCTAGCTCTGCTTCCAAGTCTGTATCTCCAACCACATCTGAGCTGTATTTTTTAGTGGTCTAATACAAGGATCACTCACCCTCCTTTTGTATTTTCAACACACAATGATTGCACATTGTCTTTTTAATCCATCCTAACATTAGGTTGGTGTTGATTTTACACATGGAAAAGTACTCACTCACTGTACTCAGCCCAGCTTCCTGAAACTTGATCATGTCAGATGGTAGGTGAGAACTGCATGTCTGAATGCAGTCAAAGGTAAGGGGAGAAAGTTGCGCCCTGTAGAAAGGGCTAACATCAGGGAAAGGGTTCCAGGCTAACCTAGTTTTCGTGCTAGTGTACAGTACTAAGGCTTCCTCCCTCATGTGGGAAGTTATGAAGATGTGATTCTGCCTGAAATTTCAGGTAGGAAGGAGCAGTTCCAGGAAGTGTGATGCTGTGTGATGCCTGTTTGTCTCTCAAAATAAGATTGATTGTCATTTTTTCCCCTCCCCTTTCTCCTTGGCTACCTCTAGTTTCTTTCTGTTAGGCTTGATTAACACCCCAGGGATGTTTTCCTTGCCCTTGTCTTGTCCCACAAAACACAGGATGGATTTGCATGTTGCAAGGAAACTGCAGGAGGAGGTGTGTGAACAATTTGTACACCTCCCACATGCATTTTTTTTGCATAACACACAAAGGGGAAACTTGCACATTGCCTCGTGTGGTAATAAAGTATAGGAAAATTCCAGGTGTACACCAGTTCTCCTGGACTCTACTGTTGCACAAAGGGAGTCATGTCTGAGTCACTTTTGCTTTTGCTTTTACCATTTTTGGTTACCCTTCTAACCAGTGAGTGTCTCCCTTTAGAGCTACACCAGGCATATGCTTTGGTATCAGTGTCCAAAATGCTGCTGGATGTCTACAGGTGTGCAAGAGGAATCATGTAAGTAGTCATGGCTCCCTGATGAGGTGTGGGGTGCATGCTGGTTGTGCACCCAGTTGTCCTGCTGAACACACACTCAGAGCACACCAGGAACCTCGTCAATCTGGTGCAAATAAGCCACAGCAACGTATGCGATTCCTCTTGCACACACATACAATCTCGAAAGGTTTTTGTGTAGTATCTATGGGTTATTGATAGCAATAATGGCAACTGATGCCAGCCTACACCCACCTCAGTTAATTGTTAACATTTAATCCTTCACAGATAACATTAACCACATTGCAGAATGCACAAGATGTCTAAAAAGGCTATTGAGCAGCTTGCCGAAAGCCCACTATCGCCTTTTCCATTTCCTTATTAGATTTCTCCTCAAAGTGGCCTCGTACAGTGATGTGAATCACATGACTCTGGAAAACCTAGCCATTATTTTTGGCCCCACTCTTTTCCGGTAAGAGGCTTTTATGATTATGATATAGCATCGAAGAGAAAGATTTTCCTCATCACATGGCATTCCACATAGTTTTAGATCACAGATTCCTATTCTCTGCTAGAAAACCTCTTTGCATATATTATGCCTAGCATAGGAGAAAGGGTCTTGCCTTTCTTTCTCTGTGAGGTGCTAGTTTTATTATATGGAGTTGTTCCTTGAAGGAGTTTTCAAATACAGTGGTGCCTTGACTTACGAATATCCCGACATATAACCATTTTGAGTTACGACCGGCTCCAGACGCAAAATTTTGCTTCAACTTGTGGCCAGAGCTTCGAGTCACAACCAGAAAAAGGCAGAGGGGAAAAGGTGGGGAATTCAAATTGCTGTTGGTGGCAAAGCGGCTGCTTCTTTGTAGCTCTTTGGCCCCAGCAGTTAGAAAGTGAGCGATCGGACGAGGCTTCGGACTGTCTGGTAAGGTAAGGTGCTGCTTTCTACTTTTAAAAAACTGTTCGGGGTGGATTTTGCAGTGTGATTTTGGGCTGGGTGGTGGGATTCTGTTTCTATGCTGTGATGGGTCTTGCAGGGTTTGTTTGTTTTTTGGTGTTTTTTCCACGATTTCTGATGGGTCTTGCAGGGCTTGTTTGTTTTTTGGTTTGCTTTTTTTCTCCATTTCCAATGGGTCTTGCTAGGTTTGTTTTCTTTTTGGCTTCCTCCCATTTCCGATGGGTCTTGGGGGGTTTGTTTGCTTTATGCTTTGCTTTTTTTGCATTTCTGAAGGGTCTTGCATGGTTTGTTTCTGCTTTGCTTTTTTTGCATTTCCAAAGGGTCTTGCATGGTTTGTTTGTTTCTCCCCCCCCCTTCAGCCGGAATGGATTAATCATGTTTCCGATGGGTCTTGCAGTGTTTTTTTGGGGGGGCGGGGTTGGTGATTTTTTCTTCGGCCATAACAGATTAATTGCATTTCAATGCATTCCTATGGGAAATAGTGCTTCAACTTACGACCATTTTGAGTTATGACCAGAGTTCCGGAAACAATTATGTTCGTAAGCCAAGGCACCACTGTATAAAACAGCTTGAAATAAAATATTAAAGGATATGGTTTATCTCCTTGACTTTTGCTGAGCGTATATTTCAGCCTTGAGAATAAGAAGCTTATATTTCTTAAAATGGGAAAGTTCTATGATCAGATAGGGATAGAGTTTCAGCTTGCAGGGTCTACAATGATTGCATATTCATTCATTCATTCTTCAGCTGGACCCCTGGGGTCTGCCTAACAGAGCCAGTTGGAAAATATGGGCCCAGGCAGGCAGGCAAACACTAAAAATTAAGGAACAAGGCACCCTTCAGCACATATTCAGTGCAAGAAATTCAAACTCACAAACCCTTTTAAATAAAAATCCACTTCTGGATTTATCAGCAGTGTTAATTTAGGGGGGAGTTATTGATTTTCTTTTTGGTAAAATGTTTTTATATCAGGAATTTGGTTATTTTTAGTTAACAGAGCACAGGACAGAAAAACAGAGAAGCATGAAGAGATTTGGCTCACTCTCATCATCCCTCCTTCATCACACAAATCTAGTCCTTTATGTCACATGTGTCAAACTAAAGGCCCGCGGGCTGAATCTGGCCCACCAGGCTGTTTCTTATGGCCCTTGCAGTGTTGCCTGCTACTGTGCAGTATACGATACACAGGCACTTACACAGTCACCCATAATGCTCCACAAGGATGCTGGGAATCCGCCCAGCGGGACTTCTAATCCCAGCATTCCAAGCAGCAAAGAGTCAGAAAGTGCAGCTGCTTGAGCAGCATACAACACCTTGGGAAATGTAGTCCCCGCTATTGCCCACTTCTATTCTTACATTTATATAGTCTTACAGATACAGCCGGCCCGTTGAGGGTAACTGTAATGCCGATGTGGCCCAAGATGAAATTGAGTTTGATACCTCTGCTAGTAAAAATCATCACTCTGGGTGCATCTTTAGATAGAAACGAGCAAGCTTACACAAAATTATCATCTGTAGTTACAATCAGAGGGGGAAAAGACAAAATGAAAAGATGGTCAGGGACAAAGATGTCAAAGAACAAAGGGGACCCAACTAACACGAAGAAGGGGCTGGTCCAATCCCAGAGGTGGGGGAAAACGTTAACAATCATGTTAGTAGCAAAAAGCAACCATTTAGGTTGTGACCCCCCCCCTCCTGCTGGCCCTCAGTGGTAGTGTATGCAATATGGCTATTTTCCCAACAAAACTGTTCTTTTTGTTTGTGAATTGGCCATCATAAACCCTTGCTGATTTACTGCAACTCACCCCAAAGATCCACAATAAAAGAACACATTTAGCCATTTTCTGTCCCATCAGTATCCATGCACATCAGTATTTGTAGGTGTGTAAGTGGTGGCGCTGCAGGCTAAACCGCAGAAGCCTGTGCTGCAGGGTCAGAAGACCAGCAGTCGGAAGATCGAATCCATGCAACGGAGTGAGCGCCCGTCGCTTGTCCCAGCTCCCGCCAACCTAGCGGTTCGAAAGCATGCAAATGCAAGTAGATAAATAGGGACCCCCTCGGTGGGAAGGTAACAGAGTTCTGTGTCATGTGACCACGGAAGATTGTCTTTGGACGAAACGCTGGCTCTATGGCTTGGAAACGGGGATGAGCGCCGCCCCCTAGAGTCGAACACGACTGGACAAAAATTGTCAAGGGGAAACTTTACCTTTAAGTGGCGGCAGAATTAAGAATGATTTGTTCACTAGTTAATCCTGCTCAGTCCACACTGAAGTCAAAGAGAATAAACCACATCTGTTGTTCAGTGGGCTTCTTTAAACTGATTATATGTTTCTGCTGGATAGCTCAAAGCCTTAGGCAGAGGCTGGGCGTTCGATTGCCCACTGTGCCTTCTTGAAAGGGGCTGGACTTGATGATCCAGAGGGTCCCTTCCAGCTCTGCAATTCCAAGTTGAAGATGATGATGATATTATTTCTTCCTGTGACTACTTACTCAGCCTGCCTGCCTGTAGGGGGTATGGTGTGTTAAACAATTGCTTAATTACAATGGTGGCATTTTTAGATTTATTTTGTGAATTTTATGTGGATCGGGGGGTGGGGGGGCAGGATGCACTGCACCAGAGCTACAAAGTATACTACTGTTTTGTGAACCGTATTTCTTGTACCATAAGTTGCATTTCGCTTATAATTACACCAATAATGGTTTCCATGAGTTAGCAGACAAACCAGACACCCAAACTGCTTTTTTAAAAACTGCCAGGATTAAATGGAAAGTGACTGGGTACAAAATCATTAAAAATGTATGTTTTCCCCCGATTAACATTTGCATTTTCCATTAGTGAAAATCAGCATTGGTGGTCATGTTATGTAAGAAGCACAGACTATGCATGCTGAGATTTCTCACTGTGTTCCGGCAGTGCTCTGATGCTTTGTGATTTTTAGCATAGAAGGATAAGACTCTGTCCTGGATTTAACAGCATGCAAATGAGTTCCTCACATAATCTGTTGGCAGTGAGCAGACAGCGTACATGATAGATGGTGGTGGTGAGGGACAATTGATGGTGGAGTAATTATGAGCTGATGAAAATACAAAGAGGTGTTGTACAGAAGTTTAGAATATGAAATATATTCAGGCGTGTATTTCCATAGGTGAGAGCTCATTTCTTTCCAGAAGTCAATAAAGCGGGGGGCTAATTAAACCTCTTTGGGGCAGTGGATATGGAGAAAGTATTGGGAAAAGCAGATTCATTTTATAGATGAAGTAGATTTGAAGTTGAGAGCTGAGAAGCCCCAACCCATGTTTAGATTGAGGGCCCAAAGATGATATCAGGGGATCTGGCCACACTCCTAACAAGAGGAATGTCTCCCCAAAATATTACCTCATCAGAAGTTCCTGTCCTAGACACAAAAAGAATGCCATTGGTCTGCTATGTTTTCTAAGGGCTGTAATTATGGAAGTGATGTACAGCAGTGGTCCCCAACCTTTTCATTGGTCTGCTATGTTTTCTAAGGACTGTAATTATGGAAGTGATGTACAGCAGTTGTTCCCTAACCTTGGGCCTCCAGATGTTCCTGGACTACAACTCCCAGAAGCCTTCACCACCACCTCTGCTGGCCAGGATTTCTGGGAGTTGAAGTCCAAGAACATCTGGAGGCCCAAGGTTGGGAACCACTGATGTACAGTATGGAGATGGAGAAACCTGCAAAATTTCAAACACATTCATTTCCCAGCTCATTTCTTTCCTTTTAAAACTAGCAGCAAACATTTCTGTTTTCCAAGTTCCTTCCTATTAATTTGCAGAGAGCAATTCACAGGGGACTGATGAATTATGGGGTTAAAAATTCCAGGCACTACAGTTTGAGAGCCACAAAGTAGTGCTTTTTATCATGCAGTAAACTGCCCAGAATAGTACATTGCACTAATGTGACAGTATACAAATTTGAAAAATCAATATAATAAATAAATACCGTAAATAAAGTTGATAGCATTCAATTTCCCTTTTGTTTCCCTTTCCAGAATTCCCTGCAGTCCTTCAGGGCATGAAAAACAAATGCTGTGTAATGCCATCCTTCTGTGTTTTCTCCAGCACTACGAGGAGTTATTTCTGGATTGCCCTGAGAATCAAACCCTACTGAGTGAAGGAAATGATGAACCCCAGGTAAATGAGGAGCTTATGACTAAGACAAATGGAGTGGTTAACAGAGGACTCCTCATTAGGTCCTAGATCCAGTGGGGCACCTGAACATCCAGAGAAACATGGGTTCTTCCAGACATATCATTGACTTTGCCCAAGTTACAATGGTACTCAACCTTCAGTCCCTATATGTTCTTGGACCAGAAGCCTTCACCACTAGCTGTGCTGGCCAGGATTTCTGGGAGTTGTAGTCCAAGAACATCTGGAGACCCAAGGTTGGGAACCACTGCACTAGTACACAGTTTTGACACTGATATAACTGGTTTAATTTACAAGATTCAACCATTTCTCCTCTTCTCATTTCTTTCACTCGAATCACACTGAAATTCCAACTCTTATTACTCCTCTAGAGAGGTAAAGTTTTGTTTTCTTTTCTTTTTAAACCCCCATAATTTTCAGACTTAACTACTCTATTTCTCTTGTGTGTATTTTAACTACTCTATGGCCTGGGACGCTTATGGATGTGTCAGTTTATATGCATGCTATACTATGTACTGTGGGAGTGACCCCCACAGACACATAATGCTCTGTTGTTTTCTCATTTTAATTTTCCATTGTCCATATTCTACTACCTCCAAAGTGGTAAATTTTCCTCCTGGTTGTTTTCCTGTTCATTCGCCCCCGTTGTTGCAAGTTTAGCACTAACGCTGCCTGGAGCTCACTGGAAGAAGGAAATGATATATAGTAAAATCAACTAGTAAATAACTTAACACTCTATGATCAAGCCTGGGTAAGAAACCCCTGCCCAAAGTATGGGTAGCTATATTGGCTTTCAGCTCTATTTCAGCAATGTGGCACATTCTGTTCCATATAGTTTTTGGCATTTCACACTAAACAACTTTTAAAAAATACTACATCATTGCAGGGTCATTTGAGATGCTGCAATTAGGCACTGCACTTAGGAAAGCTATTAGGCAGGAGGATGAAACTGGCTTGGGAACCCAATATGACTGGCAGGTGGCAAATATCAGTAGTAGGTGGCTCTGTTTGGACATAGGCACAACCAAAGCCATCATTTAGTGAGACCTAGGGAAAGAAAAGCTGACTGGATAGCTCAGTGGTTTAGGTATCTGGAACCAGAGGTTGGAAGTTTGATTCCCTTTGGTGCCTCCTCAATGTAAAGCCAGCCTTTGCAATCTTTATATCCAATACTAGCAGAACTGAGACTTTGTCGATCTTCCCACCGGAACCTTACAAAGTCCTGGAGATTTCCCCAGCCCTGTGAAGCAAGTTTTTAGGGTGGCCAGGGAAGGGCCGAGCTGATTCTCATGGGAGCTATGCATTATACTGTACTGTGCGTTTTCAGTTCTACTGTATGGCATAAAACCAGGGACTTCAACACAGATGACTACAAGAAAGAAACATCTGAGATGTGGATTTAACATGACATGTAGTGAGGATGTACTAACAAAGAAAGAGCAAGACCCTAAAAAGTCCTAAAATGCAGGTCTCTAGAATACTTCATGGCATAATAAGAAATGAAAAGTATAGATAGTCACAGCTCATAATTAAAGGTAAAATAAACAAGGAAAACAAAGTATAAGAAACAAGGAAAAGAAACTGAGAAAAAGAACTTACTGGCTGAAGAAATCTGGGAGCCCAGAGTGGATGCAACATAAACCCATGTTTAGAGCAATTACATCGGCAGTAGAGATGGGGATATTTGTGTTCATGAACAAGTTTGTATATCTCCATCCCAGCTGGACCTAATGAGGGTCCAGCCCGCAAAATTGGCCCGTCCACTCACACATCCCAGTGCCGCAAAGGTCCCGCTCTTCTTGCCAATGGTACTGTCTCCTTGCTCGGCTGGCCACTCCAGCCAGGGGGCGGGAGGATGAGTCTCTCCGCATGGCTGCTGAGTGGCCAGCCAAGCAGGGAGACAGCAGAGCTCCTGGTGCCATTGGTGGGAAGAGCAGGGCCTTCACAGTGTCGGAACATGTGAGTGGACGGTCCAGTCCTGGGGCTAGACACTCATTAGGTCCAGCTGGAATGGGGATATCTGTCGTCAGCAGTCCTCCTGACAGCCCTGACGATGTCCAGCTTTGATAGGAGAGAGCAAGAGAAGAAGGTGCAAGCAGCAATATTCGTTTCTGAATACAAATATCCCCATCTGTCGTCAGCAGTCCTCCTGACAGCCCTGACGATGTCCAGCTTTGATAGGAGAGAGCAAGAGAAGAAGGTGCAAGCAGCAGGATCCAGCAGAAAAGCAACGTTGGATCTAGGTCTCCTATGCAGTTTTTTTATGTGTTGTGTGTCACATATCACAATAAATTACAATTTCTTCATTGCACAGTGAGGGCAGACAGGAAAGCTGCTTAGCTTTTCATTCATAGTTTTCCTTCCAAAAAATTATAAATGATCAATGCTAGAAAGAGCATGATAAACACCAATACAGCCATATAAGAAGCACGATATCTTATTCCAGATAAAGTTTTGTTTTTAAAGTATCTTCTCTCTCATCTTTTTGCATCTCCCTCTTTGTTAATGGACACTTTGTTGAAAACTATGAAAAGGGGGTGGGGAGAAAGATGATTGTTTTCAGAAATGACGAAAATATCATGATCAATATGATTAAAGAATGTTATTGATATTGGAGCTGTAATAAATTGGTTCATGGGTAACTGAGTTTTAATCTATCGCTTGTCTAGCTCTGTGTAAGATTAATAATAGAAGCTCATGTATCTATTGTAATGTATCTGATTTAAAGTGTGAACTGAAAAATCTGATGGCACAGTTCAGTTATTTAAAGTAAATGAACTGGCTTGGTACAGTGTAAGGGGCACAAAAAACTAGGAAGAAGAATTCTGGCCTAGACTTTCCTTTCAAAGGCTATTGTTTATCTGTTTGTTGTTGTTTGTTGGGTTGGTTGGTTGGTTTGTCCCACCTGCAGCCTGAAAGTGCAGCATCCCTGGGGCAGTCGTATTGTATGACACAACCATGAGCTGTGGGGCGGTTTAAATGCTGTTGATTAATGGTAAAGGGAGCCATCATATCTGATATGGGGCACATCCTTGAAATCAAAGGATATCAAGAAGATTCATCTTCACTTACAATCCAATAATGCATCTCCTTTGCCAATGGCGGTTTATTTCCCGTTTATTATGCCCCACAACCTTGTTTCAATTCTTCTTCTTCTTTTCTTCACAGCACCTCTGTTTTACCCCACTGCCTCAGGGCCTCCAAGAACAGATGGAGGAGATAAATCTCCCATAAAAGCTGTGCCAAGAGCCGGCAACTCAAGATGGCTTGGCAGCTTCCCTCCACTTGGTGTCAGTATTACTTTTTCTCAAGCTCATGGGTCAGCGCTCTGCACAAACTGGATTGATTTTAAGTTAGAGTTTTCAAGACCTTAAAAGAAGAAGAAGAAGGCTCTTTGCTCCTGATAGTGGCTTCCTCTGTTTCCAAGACAAGGTGTATTGTAACAGATTTAGAACAATGACATGTTTTTTTCCCCAAAGAATATCAGAGTGCAGATCCCCTGAGGATTCAAACAGAAAACACTGCAATTTATGTAGTCTGTGACCTGCCAAGAGAACTTTGCACTTATGGGTGGTCTAGGAATGTTGCAAACAAGCAAACAAGTTGTCAAGACACAGAGAGCATTCAGGCCGTGAGACATAAGGGGGAAAACCTAATTGGATTTACAAACATTTGCAAGATCTTGGCAAATGGAACTGGGGTTGAGAGAGAGGGAAGTTTCTATCCCTCTTCCTACTATATGCAGTTATTTGGCTATAGTACTTAAGTTCTGATATGTGAAATGACTATTCTAATAAATATTGAAATGGATCTATGCATTTTAATGTAGGATAAAAGCATTAATTCCTTTTTTCCCCAAAGAAGCTGACTGATCTATGTAATAACCAGGCATAGTTATGAAAGAAAATAAACACAACAGAGGCTCTTTTTCCTCTTCATTTATGCAACTCCCAAGACAATTTAGTGCACACACACAAAAATAAGTCCCATTACAACAGTGGGATATATTTCCAGGCAAAGGTGTATAAGAGCCTTCACTGTGAATGGATCCAGGTTGGGCCCTTGGACTTTTTCAAATCTCACTGTCTCCCCTGGCCCGGCCCAATCTATTGGGTGATGACTCCTTCTTCTTTGGGGAGCATTACTGTCATATTCTGTTGCTAAATATCATTAGATGCATTGCCCTTCTCATCTTCTGGGATTTCCTCTTCCTGGTTAGCACTGATGTTCAAAGTCTCCATTTTGAGTGCATTCAAAATCAAGGCAGCTCACTTCACAAAGCTGGCTGAAAAACCCAGTGGTTTAGGCATCTGGCTGCTGAGCCAGAGGTTGATTACAATAAAAAAAAATAGTGAAAGAGAAAAACAAAAAAAGAACCACCACAATGCCACCTACTTCCATCTTTTGATGTTTTCTTTCATTTTTGTCCCTGGTTGCTTTCCTCTCCTCTCTTCTCCTCTTTATTTAGTTGCACAAGGGACGTGATTTTGACTTTCTGTCCAGGATGCCAAATTGTCCACACACTGGTTATCTGCCCCAAAGTAGAGAGCCAAATTAGGAAGAATGGAGGAAGCCAACTGCAAAGGCAGCCAACATAATCTCTTCTCCCCTCCAGGGAACAAAACAACTAGCTTTTCTTTATAGACTTCTGCCTGGTTGCATGAGCAGGACCTCCTAAAAATAATAAACATGCACCCAAGCTTCTATCAATATATTTCATTCTGATGCTACTGCAACTCCATTCCTCAATAACTGTTTTACCCACAGTTTAATATTTGCATATTCCTCTGGGAAATAGAGCAAGGAGCCTGCCAAATCCATCTAGCAGAGTGACAGGCAAAGGGGATATTTTTTCAGTTCATCTGCTTGGTTTGCTTTCTAAATTTGTAATTGAAGGATGATTTTCATCACACCCCTCCACGTGAAATCCATGACAGTAAAGTCCCTGTTATTTAACCTAACGTTTACAGTCCATAATGAGCTCCCTTCATACAGAGCAAAAGCAGACATCACAGACAATGGAAATCCCAACTGCAAGTCTATGTCAAGGAGGTCTCCCCTTTGCACTTGGCTATGTTCAGTTCAATGTGGCTCATTCTTGCTGGTAGAGAACTGTAGACCTATGGTAAGTTGGACCAGATGTTGTAGAAAAGAAACAGGATCTTGGCCTGTGGTTGCTGTTTTGGCAGCAACCCTTTGTTTTGTTTACAGACTGAAATGCGCGCGCGCGCACGCACGCACACACACACACACACAAAGCCACATGGGAGCCACTTCTATATGGCCTGGTCCCATCAATATATAGTATTTATCCAAATATGTTAAAACTGCAGCTAGGTGTTTATTGTTTTTCCTTTGTTTTGTTTACAGACTGAAATGCAGACAAACACACACACCACATGGGAGCCACTTCTATATGGCCTGGTCCCATCAATATATAGTATTTATCCAAATATGTTAAAACTGCAGCTAGGTGTTTATTGTTTTGGTTGTAACTCTGTTGACTTCGGGCCAGAGGTAATGACTGTAAACTGCCACCTGGGCAAAATGTAACTTGATTAAAGAGAAATAAAAATGAAAATGTGATTACTGAAACCACACAGGGAAGTACTGTGGCTCTTCTAGCAGACTGCATTCCCACTAACCAGAAAGAGGGCTGTGATAGGGTGGGATATATCTCTCTTGAGGCGATTTGGAATTTGGCTATTCCCATTTTCATGCAGAGAAATTTATGCGGAATTCTGCTCTGTGATAGGATATATCTCTCTTGAGGCGATTTGGAATTTGGCTATTCCCATTTTCATGCAGAGAAATTTATGGGGAATTCTGCCTGATTTCATCCCCCACTCTTAGAAAAGGGGAAAAATCAGTCTAGAGGTAAAAGAAACAAAAGACTTGTAGTCAGCAGTACTTGCCTGTATTCTTTCCTTTTCTGTAGTCTGGAGCTACCTCTCCACACATCTGTCTTATTCGGAAGGCACATAATGGAGGGACCCATTTTCATGCAGAGAAATTTATGGGGAATTCTGCCTGATTTCATCCCCCACTCTTAGAAAAGGGGAAAAATCAGTCTAGAGGTAAAAGAAACAAAAGACTTGTAGTCAGCAGTACTTGCCTGTATTCTTTCCTTTTCTGTAGTCTGGAGCTACCTCTCCACACATCTGTCTTATTCGGAAGGCACATAATGGAGGGAAGGTGACTAACAAAGGAACAACAGGAAGGAAAGAGTAGTTTCAAAGACTCTGAGGCATGGAGGGAAACTCCTAAATTAATCGCAGGTGCTCCCCACAGAAACCCACTGTTAAAGGAGAAGCCTTCAAGACTGTAATTTTTTAACATAACCCATGCCACTGGTCTCCCCCATGGGACACATTTCTTATTTCCACACATACTGCTGCGTCTGCGGGCAACTTCTTTTCAGCTTTTGGTGTGTGTGTGTGTGTGTGTGTGTGTGTGTGTGTGTGTGTGTGTGTGTGTGTGTAAAAGGCTGACACTTTGCATTCCTGACAACCATGCCAAAGCCAAAGGGATTCTTTTATTAAAACATCCTTGTGTTCACACTTTGCATTCCTGACCACTAAACCATACCAAAGTCAAAAGGATTCTTTTATTAAAACATCCTTGTGTTCTTGGCGCCTGAAACAGAAGATCTGACAAGCCTCTGTTCCTATCTATGGCAAGAAAAATAAAATAACTAGGTAAATGCTTTTGAGTTGTGGTGCTGGAGGAGACTCTTGAGAGTCCCCTGGACTGCAAAGAGAACAAACCTCTCCATTCTGAAGGAAATGACCCCTGAGTGCTCACTGGAAGGATAGATCCCGAAGCTGAGACTCCAACACTTTGGCCATCTGATGAGAAGAGAAGACTCCCTGAGAAAGACCCTGATGATGGGCAAGTGTGGAGGCAAGAGGAGAGGGGACGACAGAGGATGAGATGGTTGGACAGTGGCATTGAAGCTACCAACATGAATTTGACCAAACTCTGGGAGACAGTGGAAGGCAGGAGGGCCTGGCGTGCTCTGATCCACGGCATCATGAAGAGTTGGACACAACTGAATGACTAAACAAAACATGGCTGTAGCCTGCTAACGTCAAATTCTGGCCACTGTAAAAAGGCTGACCTGAAGAGGAAATATAGGTGGGTATAAATATGGGCGGATAGTTATAGAAAGGATACAATCCATATGCGAGATCAAAACCTTATAGATATTCCCAAATGTCGGTTAGTTGCTCTGAAACAACAAGAACTCTTGGAGTTCATTGCCAAAGATGATGTCAAGGCTGTGGGATTGGAGGGGGTTCAGGCAAAACAATGGCTGCTTTCTGCTTTGAGGTTAAGGGGCCAAAATGGCAGCATCTTCCATGCAACCGACCCTCACTCCACTCCCAAGCCAACTGCACCAGAGCACAGTTTGCTGTCCTCTGAAGATGCCGGCCACAGAGACTGGCGAAACGTTAGGAAGAACAACCTTCAGAACATGGCCAAAGAGCTTGGAAAACTCACAACAACCAACCCTCACTCCAGTTTTCTAACCAGGTGAGATACATTCTTTATCTCTTTCCTCCCTCCCTTCCCTTCCTTCCAAGGCTTCCCCACATATCTATTTAAAAATGTGTAGCCTTCTAATTTTTAATGACAGCTTTGTGCCTGTTAATCATTATTTGTCTCTGTGATGGAGCTCTTTTTTCCCCCTCTGAAGCTCTTATTTTTATCTGGGATAATCATCTTTAGTCATTTTTATCTGGGATAAAAATAAGATAGAATTTTGGGTGGGTTCAAGATTTTTGCTAAAATCATCTATTTTTCACTTTCTTGGACTTACTAAAGGATAAACTGCACCTTATCTCAGAGATTTGCATGTTTACAAAGCTTGCAGGAAGTTTATACACCTCAAAACATTCTTACACTTTAAGAGCAGAAACAAGCCAAAACAGTTACAGTTGCAATAGTCTCACCGACACGTTTGTGTTACATACAGCACAGATGTTACCTGTCTGTCATGGGTTTGGAGGGAAAGTTCCATCCTATGGGGAGTGGAAGGCGGGACATCAGGAGGAGGGGCTGTACTGTATATATATGTGGAGCGTGTGTGATTCATGATCAGTATCCGACCTATAATATTATTCATCTATTCTTTTCTCAACCCCCCTGTTACATTTTTACCAGGAACACCTTGCTTGGTGAGATGGCAAAACATCCTTTTTTACAGATTGCCTCCTTTTTGCCTTTTATTCAATTTCCTGTTTCTTTCATTCTATCATTTGATTTTTATTTTTTTTTAGAGGAATCTGTAATAGTGAATTTGCATATATACTCTTCCTTATTCATCTATTCTTTTCTCAACCCCCCTGTTACATTTTTACCAGGAACACCTTGCTTGGTGAGATGGCAAAACATCCTTTTTTACAGATTGCCTCCTTTTTGCCTTTTATTCAATTTCCTGTTTCTTTCATTCTATCATTTGATTTTTATTTTTTTTTAGAGGAATCTGTAATAGTGAATTTGCATATATACTCTTCCTGGTATCTTCTGCTTTTATTTTAAAATTGCAGTCCAATGTGCACCTATCTGGGAGGGAGAGTAAATCCTGCAAAACACAATGGGGTATGTGTGAGAGGGTCCAGACATAGCAGATAAGGCCAGGATTGCATTGAATGTTTAATTATATTGTTTAATTATCAAAAGGTGGCATCCGTTTGCACCTTTTCCCTTCACTACGTTTGTTTTATATTCTCTGTGCCTTCCACCAGCCATTAAAAGAAATATTCTCTACTTTTCTTTCTTTTTTAAAAACATCACCCTTCTTAGTTTGGGGTCCATGTTAGTCGTGCTGACCCATGGCTCCATACTTCACTGCACTCCTCTTCTGCATGTTTCACCCAGCCCTATTTTTCTATGCCTCGTGTATCTTTTTGAGCATGTCAAGAGATGCAAATGTGTACATTCCTGCTTTCCTCATTATTTCTTTATAAATAATAAAAATATATACGTAACAGATGTTAGTACCAGAGCTAGTTTTAAGGCAGGGATAGGGGCACCTGCATTTCCTTGAAGGAATGTAATGCTTCCAGGACTCCATGCCAATGTTGAGAGGGACCAGAGTGGGGAAGAGGCTTGGGTGGTCAGCCACCACACACTATTTTTCTTTGAAGAGAAGACCATCATTGTTCCTAAAGCTTTCCCTCTTTCTTTCCTAAAAATTTAATAATAGGATGTGATAATCTTAAAAGACAGTAATCCTGTTCTAGAAGCAGGTAAACAATTGAGGAAAGTGTACCCTAGTACAGACTCTCTATCATATTCTTCTGCTGCTGTCATCATCTTCCTTCCTTCCTTCCTTTCGATGGGAGGAAATCACATTCACTCC